TTGGGTTCAAGTCCAACCTAACCACCAAACCAATCATTCCAAGTCGCCTTAAGGTGAACTTGACCCAAATCAAGTTGACTAGATAATTCGAAACCGTCAATATAGGTATACTGAAAGAAATGACTATAGTTGCCTAGCCTATATATTTGACAATTAGGGGACAACCAGTCTTAACATGATCCCATGTGAATAAGAACATTCTCGACATGTCAATCTAGCTTAAAAGTTTGATAAATAACTTCCCAAAAATGTCAAAAGATAATTGCTCCTATTCTGATGAGATGGAGGAGTTGATATTAATGCACATCTTATGATCATACAAGCAGCATACACAGCACTACATACAGCAAATCCTTGAAGGATGCAACTCCAGACTAATCAAAAGCATCTGAATCATCTTCAGATGTCACCTCTGAACCTGAATCATCTTCAGATGTCACCTCTGAACCTGAATCATCATCATCATTTTCATCATTCTCATCAATTTTAACGGTTTGTTTGGCAGTCATTTTGGTCAATGCTGCTGTCTTACTTGCCCTCTGTGATCGAGTACTCATCACAGCAGGATTCGTGGGAACCACAGAAGTGGGTGTGAGTTCATCAGCAGATGACGATTCTTCTTCAACCCTTACTCGTCTTCTAGCACGACCTGGCCTCGTTGATTGAACTGCCGGAGTCGCTGGCACTTCCATTGTGTCGTCCTCTTCGAGATTGACCTCTAGTTCCAACCTCCCTATTTCATGAACACAAGTAACGAAAGAGATGAAGATAACTCCAAATAGTTTTGTCTCAGAATGCTGAACAAAATTGTCCAAGGAAAGAGCTTAAAGAGCAACGAGTGTAAAATGCATATTAACTCGACATTTAACATGAAAAGCCAGAGAACCAATTGTAACCAATATATTAATTCTACTAGCAGATAGATTTTTATTTGTTCCAACCACAAGCCTATTCTATTTTTCACATCGTGGAGAATAAAACGAATAAAATTTTAGAAAAGATAGAGATGCCTCAAACATCAACGAAAAGACACTGGAAGAGAGGATTTGAATGCCTTCTCTTACATGCTTAGACTAAATATATTTTTTTAATGTTACAACAAAGCATTCAAGAGTAAGTAATTCTAAACGATGAGGAAGCTCCTCGATCGCTTTTTTCTTCTCATCTAGCAAAAGGTTTTCTTTTGTCAACCTTCCTCGAAAGGCCTAAACAAGAAAGGGGTTTCTTCTACTGAATGATTATGGAACTTCTTCAGCTATTAGCAATTTTACTGAACAACGTACATGAAGAAAACATATATAAACAAATTTTCATTACCCAGGATCTGATTAGCCTGATCAGACGACAATTTCTGGTCTGGGTGTCCATCTATTAACTTTAGGCGTTCAGCCATTTGCCTCAGTTCCTTTAGTAGATCTTTTTCAGCAGCTACAGATTCAGACACACGATTTAAGAGCTGCCGCACAAGCTTTATTGCCTCCTGTTCAGATGGCTGGAACTGAAGTAACACAAGTATTCTGCAAACTGCAGAAAGATATGATTTCCCTGCTGCTGTCTTCTTTGCATGGAAGCTTGCCACCTGGAGTGTCCAAAAGAGAAATTAGCTTATCATTACAGCTGAACAGCACACAAAGCAATTCACTGCCCTTATTTTGGTGAAAATTGAATTAAGGCACCCAATAATCCTAATTAATTGATGAATATGCTAAGAGAGAGGCATAAAAGTGCAGCAAAAAAAGCTTATGTACAAACAAAAAGGAAAAAACAAAGTTTTTCAATGCCTTCTTTGCTACTATTCGAGGGTGGGCTTACAATTCCTACTCCATGAATGAAATACTAGATTACCACCGAGCAATTACCAATTGCAAGAAAATGCAAATATTCACATGCCTAGGTATTGGAAGAAAAAATCACCTAAAACAAGGAACACGTTTAAACACATTATTGAAGCAAGGGCCACTCTAAACATGTCTTTATTAAGTAGGAGACCATAAAGATAATGATAATATCTGTGTATGCATATGCATGAGCAGTAAATCGAAATCATGCACCTCTATGCTTATTTGAATCAGAATGATGGTAGCAATTACATTTTCAGAAAACCTAGCAAAACCAACAAAATAAATATATGTACCTCTACTGCAATGCGTATCGCTAGCCCTTCCTCTCCACTCTCAAAATCAAGTGAAGGATCAGCTTGATTATCCAGGCTTTCACCATCACTTTCATCGGGTGCAGTCTCCTTCGCATATAACGGAACTTTCATCATTTGCAACATAAAGCGGGATGCTTGAACAGCACGCTTACGCATGTTAGACACCATAATTGTAGATCCTGTGGCATTTCCATTGATACCAGGCCACAGGGAACGCATAACTGGCATAAAAGCCTTGGATATGCACTTCTGCATTTAAAAGTTGAGAAAAGTTGTGAGTCCCATAAAATATACAGTTGAAATGAGTTTTAAGAAATCGAGGCTAAACAAGGACAAAATGTACAGTATATTTTCTCCTTATGGAATTGCAACGAAGTGACATAAACAGCTAAGAACAATGCAAAAGACATAAAAATGTGATCATATGAAGCCACTTGAGAATGACAATATTGGTCCAGGCATTCACACTTAACAGGCTAATAGTAACAGTGGAATAACACAAATTAAGAGAAGGTATACTTTTAGCCCCCGTTTGGCTCCCATTAAATTTCGTTACATTACATTCTATTTTTCTCTCTCCTATTTTCAACCATACAATCTTTCATAAAATAATATTACAAGTAAGTCGAAAACTTTTCCTTCTTTTTCAACCACACATTTTTCAAAAAATCACTATTCCACCCATTTTCATTTTCAGAAAATGGGGGCCAAACGGGGGCTTCATTTCACAGAGAATGCAATGAGATAATTATCAACAATCATTTCAAAGGCAAAGAGATACATGCAAAACTCAAAAGTTCCTTCCATTTTGAAGTTCAGAAATAAAATTTGAACAACTAGATCATTACAGACTGACTCACACACCGAAATGTGTACGTGCTTAAGAGGGAAGAAATGGCATGAGAAAATACGGAGCTAGATTAGAAGTTAAATTTACAAGTAATTTTCAAAGGCATTCTAACATTCTATAAGGGATCTTCCACCTTTTTATCTAGAAAAAATTAAAACAAAAATGGAAAAATCATGTACATTCTTGGCTTACCACATTCTAACAAAGGATGACACATTAAGCCATTGTTTCGGACTCCATTTTAATGTAATTTTGAGAGAAAATGTACTTTGGAATAGTGATTTTTTTGGAGAATGTATGGTTAAAAGATAAAAAAAAGTTTTGGATTTAAGTATAATATTATTTTATGGAAAAATGTGTGGTTGAAAATGAGTTTTGGAAAAAATGGCACAAATATGGGCAAAAAAATGGCAAACTCAAAATTTAAATAATCATGCCGAAAAGTGGATAATTGGTTCGCAGACAACAAAAACTTACAGAAGCTTCCATCTGTAGATGCTTACAGACCATTCTCCAATAAAGAGCAACTTCAGCTTCCATGAGTTGGATGCCACGATTGCAGTCCCCTGCTATCCAATTGCAAAAATTAATGAGATATTGAATGCATAAGCTTCTTATTCAAGTTTGGGGATACCAGGAGGCATCAACTTGTGAAATTTTAGGAAACCACATAATCAAAAAGGGTGATAACTTTGACCCACTAAAGTATATTTACCTAAAATAACTCATGAATTTTGTGAACTAATCTAATAGCTAATAAAGAAAAAGCAAATCACAATGGAATACAGGCTTTGATACAAAGAGCTTCCATACTGAGATAACAAATTGATTACGCATCACATTATTATTATCGATACGTGACTTGAGATTAATATGGACACAATTGAATTCTAAACAAGAGATCACATTTGTTCTCTTAAATGTGACTGAATACTAAATGACTGCAGTTATAGAAACTATACCCAAGAACTCTTGCAGTTCTCATTGACTCAAATGTTGCATAATCAGTGCAGTATATGTATCATAAAAATCCAGAATGAAAACATTAAGTTTTTCTTTATTAACAAAAGCCTACAGCAGTACAGTACAGAAAAGAGACAAGGTTCAAAAAACTTGGCAATCATATGTTCAAGAATACCAACCTCAAAATAACAAATATGTAGTATGCAGACATAAAACTCACATAAAATAGTTTTTAACTGAAAGAATACAAGTTCTGCAGCAAACTGCTTTGACCAATATCTTGCTGGCATTTTTTAGCGGACAAACCATATTAGTTGAGGCTATCGAGAAAGGTAAAGGGCAGATTAATTCAGTTATAAATAACACTAACCTTCAGTTGCGTCACTAGTTGATGCCAAGAACTGCCTGATGGTTTGTCCATCTTTCAAGCTTACCCATCCTTCTTTCAGTAGTGTGGCCATTACAGACTCCCCGACTGATTCATAAGTTTCAACATCAAGAAACTTAAGTAATTCTATAGGGTCTCTATTGCAGCACTGCAAAAGCCATTCATCTTTCATCAATTTCAAACACTCCTTTGCCACAGCTTTTGAGCGATCTGCAAGCCCCCTCTGAAGAATGGTTGTTCTGATCTTTATGCTGTGACACAAGTAATGTAAAATCAGCAAGGAATTTTAACCTTCGAATCCAAAGGCCAGACTGAAATGGTAGAACTGAATAAAACTTAAGCTGAGTTTACACTTCATCCATTTCCAGAGGCAAGATAATAACATCTACTTCTAGCATCAGCATTCAGCAGCTTAATTTTTGTCAACCATATGCCTCTCTGAATGAAAGAAAATGCTCAAAAGATATTTTACAGAGTAGAAAATCTATTTTTATCTAGAAAAAATTAAAACAAAAATGGAAAAATCATGTACATTCTTGGCTTACCACATTCTAACAAAGGATGACACATTAAGCCATTGTTTCGGACTCCATTTTAATGTAATTTTGAGAGAAAATGTACTTTGGAATAATGATTTTTTGGAGAATGTATGGTTAAAAGATAAAAAAAAGTTTTGGATTTAAGTATAATATTATTTTATGGAAAAATGTGTGGTTGAAAATGAGTTTTGGAAAAAATGGCACAAATATGGGCAAAAAAATGGCAAACTCAAAATTTAAATAATCATGCCAAAAAGTGGATAATTGGTTCGCAGACAACAAATACTTACAGAAGCTTCCATCTGTAGATGCTTACAGACCATTCTCCAATAAAGAGCAACTTCAGCTTCCATGAGTTGGATGCCATGATTGCAGTCCCCTGCTATCCAATTGCAAAAATTAATGAGATATTGAATGCATAAGCTTCTTATTCAAGTTTGGGGATACCAGGAGGCATCAACTTGTGAAATTTTAGGAAACCACATAATCAAAAGGGTGATAACTTTGACCCACTAAAGTATATTTACCTAAAATAACTGATGAATTTTGTGAACTAATCTAATAGCTAATAAAGAAAAAGCAAATCACAATGGAATACAGGCTTTGATACAAAGAGCTTCCATACTGAGATAACAAATTGATTACACATCACATTATTATTATCGATACGTGACTTGAGATTAATATGGACACAATTGAATTCTAAACAAGAGATCACATTTGTTCTCTTAAATGTGACTGAATACTAAATGACTGCAGTTATAGAAACTATACCCAAGAACTCTTGCAGTTCTCATTGACTCAAATGTTGCATAATCAGTGCAGTATATGTATCATAAAAATCCAGAATGAAAACAGTAAGTTTTTCTTTATTAACAAAAGCCTACAGCAGTACAGTACAGAAAAGAGACAAGGTTCAAAAAACTTGGCAATCATATGTTCAAGAATACCAACCTCAAAATAACAAATATGTAGTATGCAGACATAAAACTCACATAAAATAGTTTTTAACTGAAAGAATACAAGTTCTGCAGCAAACTGCTTTGACCAATATCTTGCTGGCATTTTTTAGCGGACAAACCATATTAGTTGAGGCTATCGAGAAAGGTAAAGGGCAGATTAATTCAGTTATAAATAACACTAACCTTCAGTTGCGTCACTAGTTGATGCCAAGAACTGCCTGATGGTTTGTCCATCTTTCAAACTTACCCATCCTTCTTTCAGTAGTGTGGCCATTACAGACTCCCCGACTGATTCATAAGTTTCAACATCAAGAAACTTAAGTAATTCTATAGGGTCTCTATTGCAGCACTGCAAAAGCCATTCATCTTTCATCAATTTCAAACACTCCTTTGCCACAGCTTTTGAGCGATCTGCAAGCCCCCTCTGAAGAATGGTTGTTCTGATCTTTATGCTGTGACACAAGTAATGTAAAATCAGCAAGGAATTTTAACCTTCGAATCCAAAGGCCAGACTGAAATGGTAGAACTGAATAAAACTTAAGCTGAGTTTACACTTCATCCATTTCCAGAGGCAAGATAATAACATCTACTTCTAGCATCAGCATTCAGCAGCTTAATTTTTGTCAACCATATGCCTCTCTGAATGAAAGAAAATGCTCAAAAGATATTTTACAGAGTAGAAAATCTATTACAGTAGAAACAGGATTGTCACCGCCAGTGGGGAGCGAATTCTGCCTTTGAGAAAACAGGATTGTCACACCATTTCCAACAAAAACAGAAGTATCCACATGATCAGCTTAAAGACAGAAGTTCCAAATTAAGTATGAAGCGGACAGAAAGTGTACTATCATATTTCTGCCAGATTAACCATGAATTGACAGCTCCTGATTATGAGAATATTCCATCCAGTTACATCGAAGCTAAGTATATTGTTCTCTGTTGAACATTCATTTGAATTCTGAATGCAGTGCCTCGGGTGCCAAAGTGAGTTGCAGAAGCTTTTATGAGTTTTCTTTGGACCTATCTTTGTATGTGGTTGCAAGTTGCTTCATACGAAAAAAAAAACCTTGACTTGCTTCCTGGTATAATTAAGTACTAAGGTCCAAAAGTTCAGGTGTTATCATCTGACATGGATAATTTAGAGGTTTACTAACATTTGGTAATTGAAGGAGTAAATTTTAGCTGCTTTTCAGGCACCTATTACCCAGAGTCATAAGCAACTTGGTTTTCCTCTATACCATTTGAATGTGTTATTGTTCCCTTAACATAGAAAAGTGTTCATAAGATGCTATGGTTCAGATCTTTTTACTTGAATACGATGATACTAATGTTTATAAGTATTAACCGTGTTGATTAAAAAAAAAAAAAACATTTTAACAGTATTGATAGGTTAATAAGTTGACAAAAAAGTCAAAATTTGAATTCTTTTTAATCATGTCCCAGTATCCTACATTTTAGAAAACAAAAGATCTGGCACTTAGATACGTATCCATACCCGAATCCAAGCATCATAGTATATAACCAAGAATTCAGTGAGATCCTCTTTCTATTTCATATGAATCATCGTCATATAGGATATGTGATTTTTTAAAAGTTAATATATTTAATGTTAATGGGAAGATGTAATTTTGGTTTTAATGAAGCAACTTTTTTTTTCAATAATTCTTACTCTGGAAACCCTACTTCCTAGTGCAGGTAAATAAAATCTCTTTTCTGAGGAAGTCTAATTACAACTTTGAATGAGCAAAGCAAGAATTTACCTTTAGTTAGTCTATTATTGTTGTGTGCATGATAGACAGGTCTATATTCCTTGGTTTTAATATATCTTCTTCAACCATTGTTTCTATCTACTATTATCTAAAAATATCAAATTAATAATTTTCTCATTGATTGATCAATGGGAAATTTTTCCTAAAATGTCCCTCGGCCTCTGATGTCCATATAAGGGCATTATTATCTTATTCTCTTTGGCAACCTTCCAAAGCATATGGTGAATGACTAAGGCAGCATGCACACCTTGTGTCATTAGATAATAATGATACTTTCTGTCTAAACAAGACCGTACAGTGAAGTATGATATCTGTTTAGGCTCCCGATGAAGTTAATGAAACGAAACAGTTTAAAATGAGTGAAAATTATGGGATGTTAAGTACATTTTTTCAAATGTAAGTGAACGTGATAAGAAATTCAATTCAGGTTTGAGAGAGTAAATCATTGTGAGTTAACTTTTTTTCTTTGTAACCTTGAGGTCAAATACTATATATTCTTCATCATCTTCATTCCTCCATACTGTCTTGGTGACTTGTGTCCAAATCCAGTGCACTTTTCATTGTTATCTATTTTAATTAATATGACTCCCCAACTTTGTATGATGATAGATATGATAGTTATAGGCAATGTTAAAGAGGCTTAGTCAGATAACAAGTTGTTTTACCCTTGTAACACAGGTTGTGATCCTCGAGGTGTTTTGAGTTGTAAATCTCAAGACAAACCAATAAAATGATTCGAAGAATAATACAACAAATTAATCAAAAAATTGTTTAACTTGCAAATAAACATAAAATAGATTAATAAAGCAGCAAATTATGAGTTTTGGAAATAGTAGTCTACTACTAGATGTAGAAACAGCTCAACAATCTCTTTTAACATCACTAAATCACTACGAATATAATCTTTAAATGAATCATCAAAGCCATCCTCCCAGGCACTATCAATTTGTTCTCATTCTTTGTTATCATTCTCCACTTACAATGTTCTATTCTTCCTCCATTCCTTTCCATGTAGGCAGGAAAAAGAAATAAAAAAACCTATAGACCATTCTAGGTTATAAAGGATTAAGGCTGTAGGAATTGTAGGAATCCCAAATCAATCATACGATTATTGTATTTATATTTATGGTATGATTGTCTCTAGGTTAGGAAAGTTTTATTTTCTTCTTTAGTTAGAATATTTTTTCCTTTTCCTACTATCGTGTATGGTGTATATATTGGGGCAAGTTCTATTGGAATAATAATTGAGAAAAAGAATAAAAAGTTTTTTCTCTCATTCGTCCATATGATATCAGAGCCCAGTAAACTCCAACGAGCTATTCGATCCGATTAAGCCTCAAAAATTAGCACACGAATTTCAAAATTTGTCTACTTAAAAAGAGTCACCATCTTGCGAGGGTATGTTAAGGGAATAAATCTCATATCGGTTAAATACCGAATTATTGACCAACTTAAATAGATTTTGGGTCACTCCTCTTAATAAGATTGACCTTATTAAGATGGACCCCAAATCTTAACAAATGTTAAGGGAATAAATCCCACATCGGTTAAATACCGTAATATTGATCAACTTAAATAGATCTTGTGCCACTCCTCTTAATAAGGTTGACCTTATTAAGATGGATCCCAAATCTTAATATGGTATCAGAGCACGGGAAACACTAAAACCCAGAAATCAATGGCTGAAAACACAGCCCACAGTAAGGAATCAGTTTTCTCCGAATCCGAAACCAGCAACGTCGACCCCGTCACCACCATGAATTCAATTGGAATAGATAGTTCCTCCTTCCAACTTACCTGGAGAAACTCAACAGTACAAACTACAGGGAATGGGCTCAATCCATCAAATTGGTAGTCGACGAGAAAGGAAAAATTGGCTATCTTACCGAAGAAGTGAAACAACCTACGAATGCAAACCTCCAACAAAGGTGGAAATCTGAAAATTCCATGGTGATGGCGTGGCTTGTTAATTCAATGAAACCGCCAATTGGCAAAAATTTTCTCTTGATGGCTACAGCAAAAGACATATGGGACGCCGCACGGGATTTGTACTCAGATGCAGAAGACTCATCATAAATCTTTGAAATTAAAACGAAATTGTGGCAGGCTAAACAAGGAGAAAGGACCGTTATTGAGTACTACATTGAAATGACCACCCTTTGGCAAGAATTAAATCACAGCGTTGATGAACAGTGGGACTGCCCCAGTGATGGAGTTCGATACAAGAAAAGGGTAAAAAGTGAACAAGTATATGAATTCTTGGCCAGACTGAACCGCGAACTGGACGACGTGAGGGGGCGAATTCTCAATCGCCGACCACTGCCCTCCACACGCGACGTCTACGCCGAAGTTTGACGTGAGGAAAATCGCTGGCAAACCATGCTAAAGAATGGGTCATCTGCTGCCAGGAATGGGTTTGGAAATTTTGTAGAAGGATCGACCCTTATTTTAGATTCAATTGGGCTGCCGGGTCCTAACTCTAGTGGGCCTATTGGATTAAGTGGATTAAGTGGATATGGCCACATGGAGCTAGTGCCAAATTTAAAAAACATTCTCATGATGGGCCAAAATCTATTGGGCCAAATTTGGGAGTGCAAATGTGGAGAAGATCACCTAAAATTGGATCGGGCCAAAAACAAATAAAGGGTCGCCCATGGTGTGATCACTGTCGGAAACATGGACATAAAGAAGACACATGCTGGATTTACACGGAAAACCATCTGACTAGAAATCAAGACAGAATAATAGAAATCACGGCTATCAAGCTACAGTTGACTCCATTGAAATACAGAATTCCACTCCGAGTGGTACTTTTAGTCATGAGCAACTTGAACAACTCTACAAAATATTTTCTAGCTTTCAGTCACCTAGTTCGTCAAGCTCTTTGGCCCACGGAGGTAATTTTTTGAGAGCCCTAAACACCACCACACTTTCAAAGGTACCATGGATTATTGATTTCGGTGCATCTAATCACATGACGGACTCCTATCACTTATTTTCTGCTTATTCACCGTGTGCGGGCAACCTTAAAGTTAATATTGTAGATGGTTCATTATCTCCAGTGGCTGAGAAAGGGAGTATTCATATCTCTAACTCAATCACTCTCGAGCACGTACTACATGTCCCAAATTTATCATGCAATTTATTATCCATTAGCCAATTAACAAAATATTCAAATTGTTCAGCTAATTTCTTTTCTTCTCACTGTGTGTTTCAGGACCTATCATCGGGGAAGACGATTGGCAATGCTAAAGAGTGTGAGAGACTCTACTACATTGACGAGGCTAATGTGAGTGAACAAGGTCAATTTGCTAGTTGTAATTCTATTTTTTTTTCCTTAAGGATAGTGAACTTCTTTTATAGCATTATAGAATGGGACACTCCAGCTTTCAATATTTAAGACATGTATTCCCATCACTTTTTTTGAATAAAATATCTTCTAATTTTATTTGTGAAAGTTGTGAACTCGCAAAACATCATCGTTCTTCATTCCCAAAATCCGTGTATAAACCATCTCGACCATTTAGCATGATTCACAGTGATTTATGAGGACCCTCACGAATCCCCAATCGCACTCACACAAGATGGTTTGTCACGTTTATTGACGATCACACTCGAATTTATTGGGTCTATCTGTTAAAAGAAAAGATCAAAGTTCGTTTCGTTTTCATAAATTTTCATACAATGATTCAAACTCAATTCCAGACAAAAATTCAAATTCTGCGCACAGATAATGGCACAGAATACTTCAATAATACCTTAAAAACCTACCTTCAAGATACTGGGATAATCCATCAAAGTTCTTGTGTCGATACCCCACAACAAAATGGAGTTGCTAAACGTAAAAATAGACACCTACTTGAGGTAGCTCGAGCACTAATGTTCACCACCGGTGTAAACAATACTTTTTGGGGTGATGTCATTCTAACATCTGCCTACCTCATTAACAGATTGCCTAGTTGCACCCTCAATTTCGAAACTCCTCTCCAAAAATTCCAAACCTTCTTCCCTAACTCTCGCCTTAACTCTAACTTACCCCTAAGAGTGTTTGAATGTACGGCTTTTGTATACATACACTCTCATCATCGAAACAAACTCAAACCTCGTGCAGTTAAGTGTGTATTTATTGGGTATTCACCTACACAAAAGGGGTATAAATGCTATGATCCAATCACGAAAAGATTATTCGTGAGTCTTGATGTCACTTTCTTCGAAAATCATCCATACTTCCATTACCTCTCTTCAGGGGGAGAACATTAGTGAAGATTGGTTCTTGAAAATTTCCATTAATCCCTCTAAATTCATCACTAAACAACCAACACCACTCTATCCCGACATGCCATTAATAGAAGGAAGCTTAAACTCAGGGGGAGAACAGAAAGAACAACATGGTAAAGAAACAATAGTTTACTCAAGAAGGCCAAAATCGAACTATGACCCCACACTTGAAGCACCAAGAGAGTCAGAACCGGTGATAGCTCCAGAACTTCATGAGCCTCCTTCAAAATCATCCGACACTGATCTACTTATTGCTCTCAGAAAACAAACGCGGTCATGCACCCTCCATCCTATCTCAAAGTTTATCTCTTATAAAGCTTTATCTCCAGTTTTTCAGTCTTTTGTTGCTAACCTTGACAGCACAGAAATTCCAAAAAATGTTCAAGAAGCATTGGAAATCCCCAAGTGGAGGAATGCAGTAATGGAAGAAATGAAAGCCTTGAAAATAAATTAAACATGGGATGTGATAGAACTACCGAAAGGAAAGAGACCTGTCGGGTGCAAGTGGGTGTTTAATGTAAAATATAAAGCAAACGGGACAATATAAAGGTACAAAGCTCGCCTAGTTGCAAAAGGATATACTCAAACTTATGGAATAGACTACACGGAAACTTTTGCACCGATTGCAAAACTGAATACAATTCGGGTCCTTCTATCACTAGCAGCAAACTTGGATTGGTCACTCCAACAATTTGACATTAAGAATGCATTTTTAAATGGGCAGTTGGATGAAGAAGTCTACATGATGCTACCATCAGGATTCTCTAAGAAAGGTGAAGAAAACAAAGTATGCAAACTGAAAAAATCTCTGTATGGTCTGACACAGTCACCCAGAATATGGTTTGACAGATTTGCAAAAGTGCTGAAAAATCAGGGATGCCAACAAGGACAATCAGATCACACTATATTTTTCAAGATATTCGAAGATGGAACAAAGACCATTCTAATCGTATATGTTGATGACATAATCCTTACCGAAGATAATACAGTTGAGGTAGAAAGACTAAAAGGGAGTCTAGCCACAGAATTTGAAGTAAAAGATCTAGGACAGATGAGATACTTCTTGGGGATGGAAGTAGCTAGATCAAGGAAGGGTATTAGTGTCTCACAACGAAAATATGTCCTGGACCTCTTGACTGAGACAGGTATGCTTGGGTGTAAAACAAGTGACACTCCTATGGATTCTGAAAAAAGGACCAACAACATGGGAGAATTGGTTGATAAGGATAGATACCAACGACTAGTGGGAACGCTAATCTACCTATCTCACACTAGACCCGACATTACATTCGCAGTTAGTGTGGGAAGCCAGCACATGCATTCTCCAAGGGAAACCCACCTAGAAGCAGTACACAAGATTCTGAAATATCTCAAAAGTTCTCTGGGAAAATGATTGTTGTTCAAGAAAAAAGAAAAAAGAGAGAGAAATATTCACTGATGCTGATTGGGCAGGAGCAATAGAAGATAGAATATCAACCACTAGTTACTGTACTTTTGTATGGGACAACTTAGTAATTTGGAGAAGTAAGAAACAGAATGTAGTCACCAGAAGTAGTGCGGAAGCAGAGTTTAGAGCGGCTGCTCAAGGAATGTATGAATGCCTTTGGTTAAAAAAACTCTTGGAAAAACTACAAGTCACAATGAAATTCCCAATTAAGCTCTACTGTGATAACAAGGCAGCTATCAATATCTCACTCAACCCAATCCAACGTGACAAAACCAAACATGTTGAAGTAGACAGACACTTCATCAAAGAAAATGTTGAAAACGACATCATTTGCATGATCTATGTCCCTACCAAAGAACACACGACGGATGTGTTCACTAAAGGACTACACAGACAAACTTTCGATGATTTCATCTGCAAGTTAGATATGATCAATATCTACGATCCAACTTGAGGGGGAGTGTAGGAATTGTAAGAATCCCAAATCAATCATGGGATTATTGTATTTATATTTATGGTCTCTAGGTTAGGAAAGTTTAATTTTCTTGTTTAGTTAGAATATTTTTTCCTTTTCCTACTATCGCGTATGGTGTATATATTGGGGCAAGTTGTATTGGAATAATAATTGAAAAAAAGAATAAAAAGTTTTTTCTCTCATTCCTCCATAAAGGCCAATAACAAAATATCCGGTAATGCACGTCAAACAAACAAACACTTCAGTAGGATGAGACGTAAACCTCACAAAGTCGAGGCGTAAGCCTCACATATGGTACCTAAGGCATAAGATTTGAGGCCTCTTATAAAAACCTCACATGAGACTAGTATCAAGGGGCAATCCTCTATTGGTTTTTTCAATCAATGATTGTGGAATTTAATGGACAGTTTATATCAGAGATAGTCATACCTCTACTTTTTTCAAAACTTACTTTTGAATGTTCTTCTGGTATTTTTTGTTGGCTATTATTCACTCTTTCTATATTATTTAGGGTATGGAGCTAAAGATTGCAGGGGTGGAGGGAGGCAAGTAAGATATGACAGGTATACTTGCTCTCATGTCTTCTACAATATGTTTTTCTAGTTTTTATTTCGCTAGCGTTTAAAATAGCATAACAACCCTTAAAAAACGTTCTGCGCTATTCAAAACCAGTAAAAACAAGGGCAATCAGGAAAACACAGGTCAATAAACCTTCAGGCATGTGCCTCAGTAAACCGAGATGTAAGTCTCGAAAAGTGGCACTCATGAACTTCAAGATGCTTAGTGAAAGCCACACATGAGGCATGTCTCAAGCATAAGCCTGGGACACTTTTGAAACAATTTCTACATGAGAAGCAGAAATAAAAGTACCACAACTACGACTAGCACTTGAAATTACCTGAGAGTCTGAAGTGGAAATTTACTGGCTATAACACAAAAAGCTGCCTTCCGTACTGATTCACTCACATCTAGGGTGCTATCAATTATTGTTGATAAGGTTTCATTTGAAGGAGGTAAAGATAACACAATTGTCTTACGAACATCCTGCGCATTTGTGGAAAACTCAATAAACAGTTTCGATATAGGTTATTCATTATAAGAGAGAAGATGAATTGATCTTCTGCAACTCAAAATCAATTGACTACCAATGCATTTGACATATATTATAAATGAATTTTAAATTTGCTCAGTAATGCAATTTTCAGCATAAAAGTTGAAAAAAATTACATTAATCATTCCTAAATCGTGTCAATGTTATTCTCAACATTTTGCAGATTTGGGTGTGATATTTCATATTAAAGAGAAGAAAAATTATACTGCTGCTTCCCAGACTCTTTTGAAGTATTTCTGTTAATTTGTAGTAATAATTTGGCTGAATCAGCCACAGCTTTTCAGCTTAATGTTGACAATCTATTGTTAAATAGTCCAGAAAACCATTTTAAACAAATAAATAACATTCTGAAGGTGCACAGCAGAACATTAGTGCAGATATATAGTTAGACTAAGCAGAAAAGAGTAGGAAAAAGTGCAACCACAAATAGGGAGGGGGTAAAACACTCACTGCATTCTGCTCCAAGGGTAGAGCCTGAAGGAACAAGTCAATAATGTCTCTGTTCTCTGACTCGTTCGCAAAGCGTAAAAGAGCTCTGATTGCAAATGATCGAACTACGGGAAACTTATCACCCACCCGCGACTTCATGCATTCAATCACCTCATCCCAGAGTTCACTGCTCACTTCTGCATCGTCTGGCAACCGCATAATGATCTAGAAAGGTAAAAGTTTAATCACATAAATATACTAGCCCAGAAGAGAAAACCGAATTTAATTGAAAGCAAGTCACAGGGCCAACTCTTCCAAGGTACGCACATCCAAGCACTTAACTAAAAGCTAATTGATTAATTCCAAGTAAAGATCAACTCCAAAGAAAATTATGTGCAATATTAGCTATGAAAATCCAATTCAAAATAATGTCCTCGACTAATAATCTCGACCTTTCGTCTCAATTCGGATCACTTCGAAAATTTAAGACAAAATATCATAAAATATTTCTTCTTTTATTTGGCTTCATCCCCATAATGCATATAAAATTGAGAAGTACAGAATGTTGAAGAAGTTTCCATGCTGGAAAGCAGGGTGTACAAGATTGAACATGAGATCTACAACCCGCGAAGCAAAACCTATCCCGTACCTCGGAAATGATCTGGCAAGCCCTATACCTAGCAGTCTTATTAGCCGCCTCAGCCGCTAAAAGCAAAAACCTCAGAAAATTCTCCAAGAACCCATCAGAACTGCTACTATTCTTCGCATCAGGCGTGAAAGCAAAGAGCGAGACGAATTTAACAATTCGCTCGGCAGAGGCAGTCCGGCGCTGGAAATTGAATAGAGGAATGAGGGCATTGGAAAATGCCTCAAAGAATTGGACAGGCGACGAGTCCCGGAGAACGGAGAGGTCTTTCAGTTTTCGTATGTGTGTGGCATTTGAGCTTCGTATGTCATCTAAAACCCTAGCAACTTTCTGGGTCAAATTTCGGTGATGACCATGGTCTGATTCTTCAATTGCAGTGGGCATTTCAGATTCTTGGGCGAATTTGTAGATATAAAGATGAAATTTCACAGAATAATTTTGTTTAGGTTCATTGTTGAGCAAGGGGTATTTGTATTTGAAATGGTTTTTGAATGAATTTGAAGCGGGAAAAGGATGTTTTTGGTTGGTTGGCTCTATTGGGTTAACCAGGTTAGTACACTTTATCATGTGTTAGTACTTAGCTCTTGATCCCATTAAATTAAATTAACATTACATTTTATTTTTTCTTTTCTATTTTTAATCACACAATCTTCCATAAAATAATATTATACGTAAATCGAAAATTTTTCCTTCTTTTTCAACCACTCATTTTTCTAAAAAATATTATTCCCCCCATTTTCGTTTTCAAGTAATGGAGATCAAACAGGGGCTTAATAATTCAACTTAAAAATATATTTCAATAATCACTGAACTTTTCTAAGCCCCCGTTTGGTCCCCATTAATTTTTTTCCATTACATTTTATTTTTATCTCTTCTATTTTCAACCACACAATTTTTCATAAAATAATATTATATATAAATCGAAAATTTTTCCTTCTTTTTCAACCACTCATTTTTCAAAAAAAATATTATTCCACTCATTAATTTTTTCATGTAATGGGGGCCAAACATGGGCTAAATGTTACTTGACGAAATTTAGTGACTATTAAGATACAGTTTTAAGTTCGGTTATCAAGAAGTAATATATGGCAAAGTTTATAACCATTCGTGTAATTAACCTGCTCATGTAAAGGAAAAGTTGCACCAAAGGTCCCCAAACATTATTGATAGGTGCACTTGAGTCCCGTTCTTATTTTCTGCCCTGGCAATCACATTTCAACAGAACAGGCCCGTGGCCGTGAGTCACAAATTTTCAGCCCGTATGATTTGGGAAATGAAAGAAAGGGTTTGGATTTGGGTAGAAGCCCAAGTCCGACCACAAGACAAAGTCCCATCTAAAGTCTAAACGCGTCAAAATCGGCCGTTCTTTTTTCTTTTTTTTTTTTTATTGGAATTTTATTTCGAAATGGTTATTTTACTTACAAATGGTCAGTTTTAACTTTTAATCAGGTCTTTCACTTCTAATCCGACTTGTTTAAGTTTTACTCATATCATTATAATTAAACTTACGTACGTCCTTAAAAATTAAGCCTCTGTTTGGATCAAACAAAAATCTTATTTTTAGTAAAAAAAATTTTAAAAGTTGATATAATGTATGGTTGAAATTTTTTGGGATCATGAAATTGTGGTTAAATTTAATAATGAATGTTGATTTTAACTTTTATTTCAATTAACTTTTGTAGATGAACCAAACGGGGACAAATTGAATAAAACTTCTAACATGAAATGGTTTAATGCAACGCTTTACAAACGAGTCCGTCTTCGTCCCTTGCAAGTCTGCAACTCAATTAAGGCTATGTCAGTGCCCCATTTTTGTCAAAAATGAGTTTTTTTTTAATAGTAATTATTTGGAGATTGTGCGGTTAAAAAATAAATAACAATGTTATATTTGTGTGCAAAATTATTTTATTGGACTAATGTGAAATTAAAAATGAGTTTAAAAAAAATTAATAAAAGGACCAAAGTAGGGCTAAAACTCATCCAACTCAACTGGCTTTTGTAGCATGGAAGTTTCAAGAGATCTGGATCCAAGATCGAAAAAACCAATCAAATGAACACCACTAAAACAAGCCTAACCCTCAACACTTCAACATTTGGTTGCCTCACCTTTTACAGTCACCATGGAGAAGAAAGTGGTAGTATTGTAAGCCATAAAGGAAGAAACAAATGGAGAAAGAATTCTCAAGAACCCGGCTTCCTCATTCTCTCTCATTCATATTCTTCAAACTCAATGAGAAACAAATAGCTACAGGGATGCCAGGTATAATGGACTTTAGGTCATCACAATGTTGGGCCAAAAAGCTCCCCCAAATGGGCTAAGGCAAATAATCAAATGGTCCAACAAAGTAAAGGTCACACACTAACAAGTGAGCTAAAATAACTTGGGCCATCCAAAGTGTTAACTATTTTCAGGTCGAGCCAAGTCCACAATGTCGATAAATTATTCAACATCTGTTTTAAATTATCGCCAAATTTATTGGGTATCAAAACCCAAAAAATCTCCACATTGATACACAATCAACTTGCAAGTAAACAAAACACAAAATTTATACTACTCTAATCAAGGTAACCAAATAAAATTGGTATCATAGATTTTACCTCGTGTCTCGAATCCGAAACACGTAACATACATGCTCTGTATACTCACCAGGGCTAAGGTCAAAAAATACCCAAGTAAAAACAGGTAATCACATTAATCAATCAAGAGCATATAGACATGCGATGAAGATATAATACGGGATGACATAGATCTTTTCAAACACGTTCACACAAAACAACAGACTAACACCAAGTTAAACAATCAAATTGCCAACACACATACAACAAAATATATAAATGATCCCACGAAAATATCTCATCACGCTTATCTATCCCATTCCAAGTTGCTCACGCCTCGATAACGTATATCTCTTCGCAACACTTCCCATGCTCACTAGACTAGTAATTATACTCATGTCTAACTGGTAAATTATAATATATCCTAAATCTATCACTACCTCACTTCTCTCAACCTAAGTGGATAATTGGTCTCCACCTCACAAAAGTGATAAAAATGTCACTCTTACACTCCACATGATCAAGATTTTCATAGATGGAGGATTTCAGACATTTAATCACCTCTCCATTCATGATCCAAATGCCATTTCTCCACATTTCCTGTACATATCACCAATGTAACCATAAACATCTATACTTCACATTACCAATAAATATACATCACACTCACTGATAAAACATTTCAAACCCACTATGGCAAAATCACCACCTTTGATGACCACAAATGTTAGGACTCAATTTAAATTGACCTATGCACCACAAGGTTACAACCAGGGATGGAGGCACTATAATGCCTTGAAATTTTTATAGAATAAAATTTATCTATTCTATATGCTATATTTATATTTTGAAAGTTAAAGGACAAAAGTGATATATTTTTATTTTAATTTTTTTGGTCAAATAATTAGATTTTTATAGAGGAAAAATAAGTGTATCGATGTTGGACCCTTTTTGTAGCTCGTAATTAATTAGAAGTTTTCAACACGAGAAAAAGATATTTTCGATTAGACTACATCAAGTTAAACATATTAAAAGAATATTAGGTTAATAGAGTTTGTGAGGGCTTGCAATATTAATTAGATAAAATTCTTTTCCTCTTTTCATTTCTATCCCCATGTGATTTTTATTTGCTATAAAAACATTACTTGAATACAATTCAAATTCTATTATTTGAAACCAATTCTTATTCAAATTTATTGTATTATACAGTTTTTCAATTCTAGTAGCATTCAAACTTAATTTGAGAATTTTTTCACTATAAATTTTGCAAAAGGCTCATTATTTCATCACAAAAAATAAAGTGAGAGCCATGATAGAGGAAGAGAGAGAATGAGAGGAAAAGCATAAAAAATAATATGAGAATTTTCACGTACAAGATTTTATTTTCTTTTTACAAGCTTTCAATATTGAGGTAAGATATTTTTGTGCTAGTGGTTTGTTTTCGTATACTTTTATATTCAATAAGATATACATGAATTGTTAGTGGACCTTCGGGTTCTTTAGAAAGAGATATGAAATTCTATGAAAATTTAAGATGACGTGAAATGGGTATATTGCTTGATCACGGATATGCTCCATAAGAAAATAATGGTATGGAGTGTTTATTTTATTGTTATATAATTGTTCATGAAAATTGCATGTATCTTACTGTATATTTTTAAATACTCGCTCTTTTAATAATTTTTCTGGTTAGTTCGGATTGATTGAAAATGTGGTGAAATGGTGATGCGGACTGTCAAGAAGATTTGAAAAAAATAAAATGTATTATGTTTTCTATCTTTCAATTTGTTAGTTAGTTTAACTTGATATAAAAATTAAAAAAAATAAAAAGTGTTATTTAATTAGTTAGGTGTGTTTATTTTTTTTTAAAGATAAATTTCAACGATTTAATTTATATTTATGATTATTCTAGCTATTTTTTTTAAATAAAATTATTTTTATCGTTCCATGTTTAATACAAAGAAAAGTAAATATTTGATAATACTTCAAGATTTATGAAATTTTGGGGTGTTACATGCACAACGCAAGGCCACCTAAAAAATTTAGGACTTTTACTTTTACAATGCTTTTCTCTTTCTTACCACTACGAGAAACCATGCGGCACTTGCTTCTCTCACCACTACAACACTTGTCTCTCCCTCTTACCACAACAGGCCTCCGATGAGTTTGTTGCTCTTTCTCCGACACCTTCTCCTTCTCCAAATTATCAGGTATTTCATATTCTCCTCTTTTATTGAATTTTTTCGAGGTATTTCATGTTCTCTTCCAATTCTCTTCTGTGTTTATATGGATCGTGTAATTTATGCCTATTGCTTCAATTTCACAACCTTTTTCTTTATTGAAGAAACTCAAAGTCATCTTTGTTTTCCCCATTTTGAGATCCCTTTTGTTTTCAAATTATGTCAAATTAAAAGCCAAAAATAGAGAAAATACTCGTTGCAAGTATTCCACATTTCTCTTCCAATTCTCTTCTGTGTTTATATGGATCGTGTAATGTATGCCTATTGCTTCAATTTCACAACCTTTTTCTTTATTGAAGAAACTCAAAGTCACCTTTGTTTTCCCCATTTTGAGATCCCTTTTGTTTTCAAATTATGTCAAATTAAAAGCCAAAAATAGAGAAAATACTCATTGCAAGTATTCCACATTTCTCCAGTATAATCTATTGTTCCAAAAACAATTTTTTGAAAACCGACCTAGCCATTAACTCGGAGAAGCTAAAGGGTCGAGGGTTGAACGGTCGAATCGAGGTTGAACAGGGATCGACCTGGAAATTAAAATAATTAATTTATATATAAATTTATAAATATAATCAAAAAGCTTTATTAATATTTTAATTCTAAAATCTATTAGTTAATCAATAAAACTTGAGATACAATTGAGTTATAAATAAATGGGCCTAAAATTACTTTCAAATGCATAAAAAGCCCATCTAACTAAAGCCCAAACCTAT